AACCGCTCTGACTGTCAAGAAGTTCTTCCTAATGTTTAGCTGAAAACTCTTTTAATTTCACCCTATTGCCAACCTTCTGGGGCAAGAGAAAACCACTCCGCTCCATCCCCTTTCCTCTCCCCGCATTGGTCCAAAGTGCCTGCCTCCCCACCCCTCCTAAGCTCCGCTACCAGTTGAATTCTCCAGGTTTCCCATTCCTCCAGCTCCACTGAAGCCAAGCCAAATTTAGGATGATGCCAGGGCCGAAAACCCTTTGTGCTCCAGCCTGGCAAAGTGCCCAATGCAAACGGGGGGCTGGAGGGTGTTGCCACAGCAGAGGTCCCCCTTCCCCAAAGCCTCTCCAGGTGTGCCCCCAAAAACCCCAAGGCGTTTGTAGTTAACCCTGGGAAACATCTCCAGCTGGGCCTGTTCCAAAAGCATTTGGGAAAAGGAGCGCGACGAGGCCTATTTTGGGCAAGAATGCAGTGATCTTTCTTCCTTCCCTGGCTAAAAATAAAAGACCTTTCCCCAAACAGGGTCACCATTCTCACACTGGGATTCTGGGGCCAGAAAGGAAGACTTGGCGGAATCTTTACCCCCAAAGCCCTAGGGGAAAGCCTGGCCTGGGGACTGACCCAAAAACGTTCCTGCCATTTCCGCTTGGCACTGCAGAGAGTGACGGCTGCGTGTGAGGAGGACCTCCGTTTCAGATGATCGCAAATCTCAGCCCTGCTGTTCTTCCTAGAGCCAGTCTGGTGTCGTGGTTAAGTGCGCGGACTCTAATCTGGGAGAACCGGGTTTGATTCCCCACTCCTCCACTCGCAGCTGTTGGATGACCTTGGGCAAGCCGTAGTTCTGATAAGAGCTGTTCTTGAAAAAGAGCCGTTTCTGTCGGAGCTCTCTCAGCCCCACTTACCTCACAGGGTGTCTGTTGTGGGGAGGGGAAGGGAGAGGAGATTGTAAGCCGCTCTGAGACTCCTTTGGGTAGTGAAGGGCGGGGTATAAATCCAAACTCTTCTTCTAAGAGGTTATGCCTGTAGTTGGCTTCCCTGCCCCCTGCCTTTCAAACAGGAAACATATAAGGTAGAAGGGGAAATGTGGCACTTCTTCAGGACTGCTAGCTTCAGTTAATTTAATACAGGGTCTCAAGTTCCCAGTGCAGTCTGTGGTATGCTCAGCACATGAGCGCATGAAGCTGACTCAGACTGAGTCTGACCTTTTTTGGTCCATCAGGATCAGTATTGCCTACTCAGACTGGCAGCAGCTCTCCAACGTCTAGGGAAGAGGTCTTTCAAATCACCTGCTGCCTGCTCCTTTTAACTGGAGAGGCTGCGGACAGAACCCGGGACCTTCTGCATGCCAAGCAGATGTTTGACCACTAAGCCACACACCTTCCCTGGAACACATGAAGCTGCCTTGTACCAAATCAGACCCTTGGTCTACCAGAATTGACTACTCAGACTGGCAGCGGCTTTCCAGGGTCTGAGGCAGAAGTCTTTCACATCACCTGCTAACCGGTCCTTAACTGGAGATCCCAGGGATCGAACCTGGAACCTTCTACATGCCAAGAAGATGCTCTACCATTGAGCCACGGCCCCTCCCCAGGGCGGCTGCGAACAGCCCAGGAAAAAAACCTCCCAGCCTAGTCGTTGGTAAAAACGTAATGGGGTAATAAGGCCACTGACTCTCCCCCTGCCTGCTTTTCTCTGGCTGGATAGTTTTCAATGAATATGCAGGTTTTGCAGAAGAGATTGGATTTATATCCCCCCCTTCCCGCGAAGTCTCAGAGCGGCTTACGAACTCCTTTCCCTTCCCCTCCCCACAACAGACACCCTGTGAGGTAGGTGGGGCTGAGAGAGCTCTTGACAGAAACTGCTCTTTTTCAAGGACAGCTCTTGTCAGAACTACGGCTTGCCCAAGGTCATCCAGCAGCTGCAAGCGAAGGAGCGGGGAATCCAACTCGGTTCTCCCAGATTCCCTGCACATAACCACTTCACCAAACTGCATGAGGCTGGATCGGGGCCTAGTGCACACTGGTGGGCCCGTCCCCTGGACTTGCAGGTCTTCCAACAGGGGCCCAGCTGTAGAGTTGCCAACCTCCAGGTGGGGCCTGGGGATCTCCCGCTTTTACAACTGATCTCCAGCTGACAGAGATCAACTCCCCTGGAGAAAATGGCTGCTCTGAAGGGTGGACTCTATGGCATTGTACCATGCTGAAGCCCCTCCCCTCCCCAAACCCCACCCTCTCCCGGCTCCACCCCCAAAGTCTCCAGATATTTTCCAACCTAGACCTGGCAACCCTACCCTGCTGTGAGCCCCGGAACCGAGCCCACCTTCAGACCCAGATTTTTGATTTCAGCAACTATGTTTGATTGACAATCCTAGACATTGCCCAAATGATGGAATCAGGAAGCCAACGGGGGCCGCCCCATGAATGGCGAGTACTATGTACTCCGACATCAGCCTTCCCCAAATGCACTCCCTCTAGCGTGACACACGGACGTCAAAGAGCACCTGTGAGCCACAGGAGAGCATTGTGCAGCTGACTGGGTCAGGAGGGTAAGTGCAGCAGTCTGTAACCAGAGGGCTGGGGACTTGGGGAGGGAGAGACTGTGGCTCAGTGGTAGAGCAACAGCTTTGCAAGCAGAAGATCCCAGGTTCAATCCCTGGCATTTCCAAGTTAAAAACAGCAAATATTAACTACCAATTTTAAAAATGGCAGGAAACCTGCCATGGGGCAGGAGGGTTTTTTTAAAAAAGAGAAAAAGACGTGCCGGAACTCTCAAGATGGAAATGAAGTTTTCAATCTGTATACTGAAAACTCATGAACTTTTAAACATTCTTAAAAGAATTTTGTCAAAGAGGCTCCGGACCTGTTCCGGCGTGTGTCTCCCGAAAAAAAGCCCTGGGTGGTAGGAGTGTGGGGAAATCGAGAAGAAATGGCCCCAGATATGTCCGCATGGCAACCAACTCCGCTTTGAGTTTGATCTTTCCAGGAAGATGGTACCAAAACAGGTTTGGGAAACGAATACAGCGGAGTTGGAGAGAACTTAGAAAGTGAACTATTGCATTACATTGTGCAAAGGGGAGGGGCAGCATTGGGGGGGGGGAGAAGAGCCAAACCTTCATGTAGGAGCAACCCTGTTTTTGGTTCCCTTTCTGCTGTTAAAAACAGGATTCAGAATAAAAACTGGCAACCCAAGAAATGTTGTTTGTGGCAGGGAAAAATCTCACAAGTTCCGGAGCACATTTTCTTGTTACATAGACAGGTGAACAAAAAAATAAATAAATCTGCATTATATGGAACACATATACCCGTTAATGGCATACAGAGAGTGCAAGAGATCCAAATCTCTGTATATGAAAAAATTCCTAGTATAGGATTTGTATGTTGCAGAAACAATAAAACTACAGTGAGACCTTAATTCTGGCCTAAGGGAGCCCCCTAGTGGCTAAGCCGTTCTCTGCATCAACAATGGCAGCGTTAAACATTTTCACAGGTTGGGGTGGGTGAATGGGAGCATGAAGGCCGTTTCCATTTTCCTTTACATTTCCTGCGTGAGAGCAGGCTCAGCCTGTTCAGTGTTTCAAGCAACTTTTGTTCATTTTCCCCCTGGTTCTTGGCTAGGAGAGAGGCACTGCCTGAACACCTTTGCAACACGAACCTTGATCTTTCTCTCGAATGAACACAAGATAGAAACATAAACTGGGGCAGCGATTTCCATTCCAGTTTCTCTTTTATTTAAATAAGAGGGCGGAAGAAGCTTGGCAACTGCCCCTTCTTCGCAGGGTAAGAAGACTGTTAGAATGAGACCCCCCTGTGACTACCTGTAATCAATGTTCCCTCTAAGCTGTGGAGTCTTGTGAGCAAAAATTCTACCTTGTGAGCTATTGGCATTAAAAGTTGTGAGCGAGCAATTTGGCTACTGCATACATTAGTTTGCTCTGGAGCCCTCCTCCCTGAGCTAAGACAAAAATCTGTGAGCTGGAGGCTAAAAAACTGTGAGCTGGCTCACACTAACTCAGCTTAGAGGGAACACTGCCTGTAATATCTGTTGGAACTGACGGCCAGTACAGGTGGACGGAGACTTCTGCGTTGGTGGTGTCCAAATGAAGAGGACAACCTACGAACAAGCCTGTTACTAACACTACTATTACTTAGAATTACTTTTATGGCACTTTATCAGCGTGCAAAATGCCATCCCGCTCTTATCTCTCCTTACAACAACCCTGTGAGGGAAGTTAGCCTGACTCCACAGCTAGAGACTCTGCCCGGAGCTCATTTGTCTACTGGGAAGCAGAGGAGGCAGGGATATGGCCCAGCGCATGTCAGCTTGGCTGGGAGGGGGGGCTATACACCATCAAAGAATACGCTTTGTGTGCTACAGCAAAACACACAAATGTTACTCGTTTCTCTGTCACATGGCTATCTCCTCCCTGCTTGAGGATGTCTCGTACTGGTCACAATGAAAAGAACCTAAGACCTTTATAAGGGCATTAACTACAGGGGGCGTCACACCCCTTGGGTTAAGAAGACACATGTATTATCCCCCATGGATAATGTCAGTGGCAGACTTTGGAACAGGACCCCGGGAGTTCTCCACTAACCGGTGGAGAGGAGGGCACTGTCGGTCAGGCAAAGACGGCAGAGTTCGGCCAGTAGGAGTAGACCAGGAACCCCGTGAAGGTGCTGTCCGTCTTGACGCTGGCGTAGAAGCCCGTGTAGTCCCCCACCCCCACCTGCACCCAGACCTCGTCCTCGGGCTCCAGCCGTACGAGGGTGCCGCCGGACAGCGAGGTGGGTTTGGGCCAGTTGCCGTAGAACTGGAAGAAGGAGGCCACCGACTTCCCGTTCTTCATGATGTCGAACTGGAGGCTCATGCGGTAGACGGTGGCGTGGACGGCAAAGTAGTACAGGCCTGGGATCTCGCAGAGGAACTTGCCCGTGTTCCCGTCGTAATGCCCTTGCTCGTTGATCAGGACGATGTCGAAGACGATCGGCTGGTCGGCCAGAGGTGGGCTGCGGGTCTCGGAGCGCTTGGCGCTGAAGGCCGAGCGGGGCGCCACCGCGCACTCCCCCGGAGTCCCCTTCTCGCCCGGCAGCCCGTTTATGCCAGGGCTGCCTCTGTCTCCTCGGGGGCCCGACGGACCTTGGGAAGACGCAGGAAAAGAGCAGCTGAAGTAGGTCCCATATCCCCACCACCAACTCCTGGAGCTCCAGTGAAATCAGCTGGGTAACACAAAAGGGTGGATTTTGCATAGATCAGAACTCCCCACCCCCACAATTAGCCAAAACAGTCCACAGTGAAGTAACAGAAGAGACACACGATAACTCAAGGCTGCAGAAAACTGAGACATCTTGTCGTGATTTGGGCTGTGCCACCGGAAGCCTAGTAGCGCCAGGGAGACTGGCTAGCAGTAGGGGAGGCTGGGCCTACAAACCCCAGAAGGCCTTGAGAAGTTTTGGTGCCGATTTTGGCCAATAGGGAAGAAGAGGGCTGGGGGAAAAAAGAACTGGTGCAAGAGGAGAAGCTGTTCTTCTTCCCAGGGAAAAGGGCCAGAAGGGAGGCTGCTGTGGGGAAGAAACCCTCATCCTGAGGGAAGGGTGAGTAGTCTAAGGCCACTTGAGATAGTGAGCTAGGGACAGTATATTCAGACGTGTTAAGGCATTTGATTTCTTTTCTTTTCACCCACTTAATGTTATTATTCCTGCACCTTGTTTGTTTGACCTCCTATAAAATAAACCTCTCAGGGGCTTCTGGGAGTTGTAGGCCTGGCCTCCTCCCACTGCTAGTCAGGCTCCCTGGGCCTGCTAGGCCTTTGCTTGCACAGCCCAGATGATGACAGCGTAGGGCTGCCAAGTGGGGGCGGGTGGTGGGTAAACCCCCGCTTTGGAGGCCTGATTTCCGCCGCCGCGGAATCGGGCCCCGGGGGGAACACCGCCCCCCGAAGCGCAGCGTGGTTGCGTCACCAGGGGTGACGCAACCACGTCGCTCACGTTGGGGCCGTGGCCCCGATGGTCGGAGGGAAAACCCCTCAGACGATCGGGGCCACGCCCCCAACATGAGCAACGTAGCGCGTCACTTCCTGTGACGTGTTGGTGGCGCGTGCATGCTTTGCGCACGCACATCGCCAGAGCTCCCGGAGCCCGGCAAGGCTCCCCCGCCGCCAAGGCAAGTAGACTTGGCAACCCTATGACTGGGGGCCTGGGGGGGTACAGCTTATTAAATCAAAAGTTAATTCCAATAATTCAATTTGGAGCCAGGCTGGGAGGGAGGAGGCCTGGAAGAAACGCTAGGGGGCTGGGCCCCGCGAGCCCAGCGTTAGCTACGGGCCCGTTCAGGATACCCACCAAAGTAGGTATCCTCTTACCTGGCTGTCCAACCTCGCCTTTCTCACCCGGCGTCCCCACTCCTCCATCCCGGCCATCACGTCCGTCTCTGCCAGGCAGCCCTTGACTGCCGTGGATGCCGGGGTTCCCCGGTATTCCAGGCTGCCCCGCACACAAGCTGGGGATCTTGTTGTCCTCGATCTGGACGGATTCTTCGGTCAGCATAAGGAAAAAGAGGCAGAAGTAGACGGCGTGCTCCATTTCTACAGGGGCCGGAGAGGGAAAAGGCATCCGTTAGCGGGGAAAGTGAACTGGAGATGCCGGTGATCGAACTGGGGAACCTTCTGCATGCCAGGCAGATGCTCAGCCACTGAGCCACGGCCCCTTCCCCAGTTCAGCCCTTCTCCTTCCAGGTCTGCCTTTCCCACCAGAAATCGTTTTCCAAAACAGATCAGCCAGTATCATAATGCCCCTATATAAATAGATAGTGTGACCTCATTTGGAATACTGTGTGCAGTTCTGGTCACCACACACCTTAAAAAGGAGATTATAGCTTTGGGAAAAGTGCAGAAAAAGGCAACTCGAATGATAAAAGGGTTGGAACACTTTCCCTATGAGGGCTCTTTAGCTTGGAGAAACGACGGCTGAGGGGTGACATGATCGAGGTCTATAAGATTATGCATGGGATAGAGCAGGTAGAGAAAGAAGTCCTTTTCTCCCTTTCTCACAAGACAAGAACTCGTGGGCACTCAATGAAATTGCTGAGCGGTCGGGTTAGAATGGATAAAAGGAAGTCCTTCTTCACCCAAAGAGTGATTAACACTTGGAATTCACTGCCACAGGAGGTGGCGGCGGCTACAAGCATGGACGGCTTCAAAAGGGAATTAGATAGGCATCTGGATCAAAGGTCCATCAGTGGCTATTAGCCACAAGGCATAGATAGGGACTCTGGGGCAAGGGATGCTCTGTCTTCTTGGTGCTTGAGGGGGTCAACAGTGAGAGGGTTTCTAATGTCCTGACCCTACTGGTGGACCTCCTGATGGCCCCTGGTATTTCTGGCCACTGTGTGATACAGAGTGTTGGACTGGATGGGCCTTTGGCCTGATCCGACATTGGCGTCTCTTATGTTCTTATGAAATCTCACGTTTGTCCTCCAGTCTCCTCGGCCCCCGTTGCAGAAAAAAAATTCCCACCGTGAATAAATAAAAATGAAATCACAAAAGAAGCCCCTCTCGGTGGTTCTAGCGGGAAATTACACAGTGCCTTGGCAATTCTCCTCGATTTGTGGCTGCCCCGGGCTGACCCCCCCTCCCCACCCAGCAGTCCCGACTGGATTGACCCTATAATTTAAATCATAATGATTTCCATTTCTAACATCCGGGGGCCTTTAATGACTCAGACTCCTGCGAACTTCCCAGGCCGGCATATCTGTGTGTGCGCCTTCGGAGGATCTAACAAGAGAAGCGACCGGGGAAAAAGGAGTCAGGCCACGGCTGAGGAAGTCGCCCTCCACCCTTCCTGCCCTTCCCCGTGGAATCAAACACAGGAGGAGGAAACGGGCCTCCCAAGGCGGGCAGGATGGATGCTGAGCCTGCCTGGCACGCAAGAGGGCTTCGAAAGTGCAGCCTCAGCAGAGACTCCAGGAACCGGGCTGAACTTCCTTCTCTCCCCTCCCTTCCATTCCCCCTCCGGTTCCACAGCCTGCGTGTCTCGTCCACATCCACGCGGCCTGCTCTTCGCTCTCCTCCTCTGTTTTCTCCCCTCCAGCCTGTGCCCAGGTTGCCAACGGTCCGCGTCAGACTGAGCTCTAGCTAATGGGTCTGGAATGTGAGGCTCTCTCCAAAATGTCTGTTTTGCATTCCTTCTGCGTTGCCGCCGCAGTCTGCCCCTAATTGGGACTGGGGAGGGGGGGGGGAGTTGGGATAGGCCTTGGGGGGAGAGGAAAAGAGGTATGGTGGGGCGGAACCCGGCTCTTTCTCTGTGTGTTCCTTCAGGGTGGGGTTGTATTGAAAGGCATGGGCTCGAGGGTTCAGTGGGTTGGGAGCTATGCTCCCTCTAAGCTGTGGAGTCTTGTGAGCAAGAATTCTGCTTAGTGAGCTACAGGCATTAAAGTTGTGAGCAAGCGATTGGCTACTGCATAAATTAGTTTGCTCTGGAGCCATCCTTCCTGAGCTAAGACAAAAATGTGTGAGCCAAAGGCTAAAAAACTGTGAGCTAGCTCACACTCACTCAACTTAGAGGGAACACTGGTTGTATGGAAAGACACGGGCTCGAGGGTTCAGTGGGTTGGGAGCTATGCTCCCTCTAAGCTGTGGAGTCTTGTGAGCAAGAATTCTGCTTAGTTGCGAGCGATTGGGCTGCTGCATCAGTTAGTTTGTTCTGGAGCCCTCCACCCCTGAGCCAGGACAAGAATGTGTGCGCCAGAGGCTAAAAACCTGTGAGCTAGCTCACACTCACTCAGCTCAGAGGGAACACTGGTTTGGGAGTATTTCGTTACGAGTTGGACAAGGACGCACCTACCAGGAAGAAATTTCTACCAGGGTGATCTGCATTCGAGTTCTGCTTTGCTCCTGTACTAATTGTGGGTTTGGGCGAGACACCCTCTATTAATTTTTTATTTTGATTTTAAGAGTGTGTTTGAAGAGCCGTCAAGTTGCTTTTGACTTATGGAGGCCTTATCAATTAATGTCCTCCCAAACGTCCTCTCGTTAACAGCTTTGCTCGGGTCTTGCAAACTGAGGGCCAGCTGTGGCTCCATCATGTTTAGTCTGGTAGTTTGGTGTAGAGAGCCAGTTTGGTGTAGTGGTTAAGATCATGGACTCTAATCTGGGAGAACGGGGTTTGATTCTCCACTTCTCCACATGCAGCTGCTGGTGTGACCTTGAAACAGTCACAAGTTCTCTCAGAGCTGTTCTCTCACAAGCAGTTCTTGGGAGAGCTCTCTCAGCCCCACCCACCTCACAGGGTGTCTGTTGTGGGGAGGGGAAGGGAAAGGAGTTTGTATGGGTATGAATCCAATCTCTTCTTCTTCTTTTACTGCTGCTTTCAACTTTACATCCTGCCTTTTCCCCCAATGAGGAACACAAATGACTTACATCATTCTCCTCTCCTTCATTTTATCCTCACAACAACCCTGTAAGGTAGATTAGGCCAAGAGTGTGTCACTAGCCCATGTTCACCCAGCGAGCACTCATAGCAGAACGGGGATTCCAACCTGGGTCTCGCAGATCCTTGTCTAACCACCGTACCACACTGGCCCACTCTCTGACGAATCTCACGTTATTCCCAAAAGGACAGTAAGCAAAGCAGACCCAGAATCCCCCTGTGTAAAAGGGAGGAGAGACTTATCAGTTGCTATTAGCCAGGACAGCTAAATGGAGCTTCTGTGTCTAGGCGTAGTATACCTGTGAATGCCAGATACTAGGAGCCAATGACAGGCGATGAAGCAGGAGATGCCATCACTGTTTTGTCCTGCTTCCACGCTTCTCAGAGGTGCCCAGCAATTCATTGTTGGAGAAGAAAAGCCTGGCTAAATGTTTATATTGTATGCTGGTCTTAAGACCGTAATAATAACCTAACCTAACCTAAACTAAACTAAACTAACCAGCCTTGGTCAGTACTTGGATGGGAGACCATGGGGGAAGTCTGGGGTCCCTTTGCAGAGGCAGGCAATGGCAAACCTCCTCTGAACACCTCTTGCCTTGAAAACACTACAGCAGGGGTGTCAAACATGTGGCCCGGGGGCCAGATCAGGCCCACAGTGGAACTGGCTGTCTTCTGCTGGTTCTTCCAGTTCTGCTACTGCTGCGTCGTCATAGGTTTGTGGCTTACAGATACTCAAGATTGCAACAGCACAGACATTTTGATGCAATAATTCAGAGCAGGGTCAGTTATCAAGACACTGTTAAATGAACAAAAATATTGCAGAGAGTGCTAATGTTTTAAGCATGTTTTTATTTTAAGTAAAAATAAACCCTTTGTGTTTTTGTCCTTTATAAAGTTTATATCTCCACTACCTGGCATTACATTTTATGACCCACATGGCCCGGCCCGACAAGGTCTAATTTATGTCAGATCCGGCCCTCATAACAAATGAGTTTGACACCCCTGTGCTATAGGGTTGCCCTACATCAGCTACAACTTCCGCCAAATTGACCTTTGATCCAGTAAAACAAGCCTCTTGCTTAGGGAATATTTATTTTTATTTACTTAAAACATGTATTAGCCACCTTCCTACATTGTGGAATTCAAAGCGGCTTGCGATGCCAAAAAAACAACAACGATAAGAAACACATAACAGACCACAATTTAAAATCTCGACTAGGACCGCCAATGAGTAAAAACTCAGTCGAATCCAGCCCTAAATAAAACGGTCTTTAGCTGCCTCCTGAAGATGGAAAGTGAGGGGGCCAGGCACACCTCCCTGGGGAGTTCGTTCCATAATCGCGGGGCTGCCACCAAAAAGGCCCTGTTTCCTGCGCTCACCAGACGACTACTTCTTTGATTGGTGGGACAATCAGGAGGGACTCTCTCTGTGGTCTTCTAATAGGTCTTCTATTAGTATTATTTAATGTTTATAGCAACTTATATGTTGGAATGTTTTTAGATGATTTTAAAGGAAAAGGTTCCCTTGCTCGAAAGCCAGTCGAATCCGACTCTAGGGTTGCGGTGCTCATCTCCGTTTCAAAGCTGAAGAGCCAGCGCTGTCCGAAGACGTTTCCGTGGTCACGTGGCCGGCATGACTAAACACCAAGGCGCACGGAACGCTGTTACCTTCCCACCGAAGTGGTCCCTATTTATCTACTTGCAATTTCTTGCTTTCGAACTGCTAGGTTAGGCACACATGTGTCGTGGGAGTCGTGGGCCAGGCAAGTGGCTGCCTCACAAGGTAAGCCACGAAAAGCAGTGTGGTGGTGTCGTGGCTAAAAGACATGATGGGCCAGGAAGTTCAAACGTCCCCTCACCCGTGGACTCATAGGAAAGCCACCGTTCTCTCAGCATCAGCCCCCTGTCTGGAATAGAAGGTTAATAAAACCTACTTTACAGGGCTGTTGTGATATAAATTACAGGAAGCTCTTTGGACATTCAGGAAAAACCCTACTTAGATACTCAGTCAGCATGACACGTTTGCACTTTGCAGTGTGTGTATCGTCTTTGTGGGCGTTGAAACATGGGCATGCTCAGTAATGTGGCAATGCTGATGTTCATGTGTCACCCAGGCCAGAGGTCCTGATCCCCCCGGCTGAATTCCACTAGAAGCA